GGTGTGGCCTCACCAACGCAGAGTACAGGGGAAGGATCACTTCCCTGCTCCTGCTGGCCACACTGTTCTTGATGCAGGCCAGGATGCCATTGGCCTTCTTGGCCACCTGGGCACACTGCTGGCTCATGTTCAGCTTCCTGTCAATCAGCACCCCCAGGTCCCTTTCCACCTGGCTGCTCTCCAACCACTCTGTCCCCAGCCTGTAGCGCTGCAGGGGTTGTTGTGGCCAAAGTGCAGGACCCGGCACTTGGCCTTGTTGAACTTCATCCCATTGGAGTCAGCCCAACTCTCCAGTCTATCCAGGTCCCTCTGCAGAGCCCTCCTGCCTTCTGGTAGGTTGACACTCCCTCCCAACTTGGTGTCATCAGCAAATTTGCTGATGATGGACTCAATCCCCTCATCTAGGTCATCGATAAAGATGTTAAACAGGACTGGGCCCAGCACTGATCCCTGGGGACACCACTGGTGACCGGCCGCCAGCTGGATGCAGCCCCGTTCACCAGCACTCTCTGGGCCCGGCCCTCCAACCAGTTCCTAACCCAGCACAGAGTGCCCCTGTCCAAGCCATGAGCTGCCAACTTTTCCAGGAGTATATTATGGGAGACGGTGTCAAAGGCTTTGCTGAAGTCCAGATAGACACATCCACAGCCTTCCCCTCATCCACCAGGTGAGTCACCTGATCGTAAAAGGAGATCAGGTTGGTCAAACAGGATCTGCCTCTCCTAAACCCGTGCTGGCTGGGTCTGATTCCTTGTCCATCTTGTAGGTGCTGTGTGATTGCACACAGGATGATCTGTTCCATAACTCTGCCAGGCACCGAGGTCAGGCTGACAGGCCTGTAGTTACCAGGGTCAGCCTTGCAGCCTTTTTTATGGATTGGGGTGATATTTGCCAACTTCCAATCATGTGGGACCTCCCCAGTGAGCCAGGACTGTTGGAAGATAATGGAGAGTGGCTTGGCAAGCTCTTCTGCCAGCTCCTCATTACCCTAGGATGGATCCCATCTGGTCCCATAGACTTGTGAGGATCCAGGTGGCTCAGTAAGTCACTAACTATTTCCTCCTGGAATACAGGGGGCTATTTGGTTTCTCTCTCTGTCTACCAGCTCCAGAGGCCAGTTGCCTTGAGGGCCACCTGTCTTACTGGTAAAAACTGAGGCAAAGTAGGTGTTAAGTACCTCAGCCTTCTCCTCATCTCTATTAACTATGTTTCCTCCGAGTCCATCAAAGAATGGAGGTTTTCTTTGCCCCTCCTTTTGTTATTAATGTATTTATAGAAGGACTTTTTGTTATCCCTAACAGAAGTGGCCAATTTAACTTCAAATTGCGCTTTTGTATCCCTGATTTTCTTTCTGCATGATCTAGCTGTCTTCCTGAATTCTTCGAAAGTAGCCAGCCCTCTCTTCCATAGTCGATAAACTCTCTTTTATCCCTGATTTCCTTCAGAATCTCCCTGTTTAACCAGGCTGGTTGTCTTCTCCCGCCGGCTTGCCTTTCGGCACACCGGTATGGCCTGTTCCTGTGCACTCAAAACTTCCTGTTTGAAGCACATCCATCCCTCCTGGACTCCCTTGTTTTCAAGGGTTGTTTCCCAGGGTATGCTCTGGACTAGACTTCTGAATAGGTCAAAATCTGCCCTCCGAAAGTTCAGCGTAGAGGTTTTATTGTTGTTTCTCCTTGAATCTCTGAGTATTGAAAATTCTATTATTTCATGATCACTATTTCCTAGGCGGCCTTCAACCACTATATCTCCCACCAGCTCCTCTCTGTTTGTAAACAGCAAGTCTAGTGGGGCCTTACCCCTGGTAGGTTCATTTATCAGTTGATGAAGGAAATTGTCCTCTATACACTCCAGGAAATTCCTAGACTGCCTCTTCTCTGCAGTATTGAGCTCCCAGCAGATATCCGGCAGGTTAAAGTCACCTACAAGGACAAGGGCTGACAATTTTGAGACATCCGCCAGCTGCTTGTAGAATAATTCATCCCCTTCATCATCCTGGTAGGGCGGTCTGTAACAGACACCCATGATGATGTCAGTCTTGTTGGTCTTCCCCTGATTTTGATCCACAGGCACTCAACCTTATCGTTGCTGACCTCAAGTTCAACAGGGTCCAGAGAGTCTCTAACATATAAAGCCACCCCTCCACCTCTCCTCCCCTGCCTGTTCTTCCTGAAAAGCTTATAGCCTTCCATAGCAGCACTCCAGACATGCGAGTCATCCCACCATGTTTCTGTGATGGCTACTACATCATAGCCTTCCTGCTGCACAATTGCCTCCAGCTCCTTCTTGTTTGTTGCCCATACTGCGTGCATTAGTGTACATGCACTTCAGGTGGGCTGTTGATTTAATTCTTAACTCAGGCTTTCCATCCTTAGGCTGATCACTGGAGAGCCCGGTTTCAACCCCTTCCCCCTTCAAACCTAGTTTAAAGCCCTCCTAATCAGCCTCGCTAACTTATGGGCTACAGTCCTCTTATTCTTCCTAGAAAGATGAATCCCATCTGATTTTAAGAAACTAGGTACCATGGAGTTTGCCCCATGGTCAAAGAAACCAAAATTTTGATGGTGGCACCAATTCTTTAGCCATCTGTTGAGGAGTTGGGCTTTTTTACTCCTCTCTTTATTTAACTCCTCATCCATCCCAGATAGTACAGGAACTGAGGCAAATATCACCTGTGCTCCTGTCCCCTGAACTGACTGACCCAGTGCTTTAGTCTTTTTTAATTATCTTGGCACTTCTTTGATTAATGTCCTCACTGCCAGCCTGGACTACCACCAGAGGATAATAGTCTGAGGGCTGAATTAACTCAGGAAGTCTCCTACTAATATCCCTCACCCTGGCCCCAGGAAGGCAGCATACTTCTCTCTGGGATGGGTCTGGGCGACATATAGGGCCCTCAGTTCCCCTCAAAAGGGAGTCACCGACTACAACTACCCTTCTTTTTTTTTTTATACCTGTGGTTGTAATCCGTCTTTTGGACAGGGCCGAACAAGGAGGCTCTCTAGTTCATCCAAGAAATGATAGGTTTAGAGCTGTCCATTTAACACCAACACAGCTATTTGTATTTACATACCTATGATATAGCCTGTGAGTAAATAGACACATTATTTTTCTGTAAGGTCCACTGCTTCATTCAGTGTTCAAAATTGGCAATGCTTGTGCAATGAGCACATATATAAAGAATGTATTTCTTCATATTCTCAGTATATATTTTGCTATCTTATTCCTTCTCTTTATCAACATGCTATCCTTCCTCTGCAGAGAATATAAAAATTGTCATTTCTTCACAAGTTTTTCTATGCTCTTTTCACAACTAGATTTCAGCTAGAAATACTTAGCCTGTATTAAGATCTATTTTCTGTCATCTGAATTCAAAGAGGCTGACCAAACATTTAATTTGATTTAAAAATACAAGCAGTAAACCCTTTGACTGCATTTTTTTGTTGCTTGCATTTCAGGCAGTTTTTTCTTCAAACTCATAAAATCCTATTTTCCCTTAATTCAACTTCTTTTTAAGCACAGAGATTTCTGTAAACTCTAAAATATAATGTGGACAGTAACACTTCATTAAGGTATTGAAAGTTCGGCATACAACTAGTTGTTGCCATTTCTACAGGTTTTATATGTTCTCAAGGCAAGCATACTGTTTATTTTAGAGCATTCATTGTAGAGAATAGATTCTTACATATAGCTTAGCAGCTTGAATATTGCATACACTTCAGTCCCCAGTGTCTAATAGCAGGGGAAGCAGTGTATATCTACACGCTTTCCAAAAGTGAGTCAACTATATCTGCTTGCTGTATGCATCTTTTGACCTTTGCTCAGCCAGCCTGCACTAAGATGCAGAAGTTTTTTGGTGTGGTTGGCATCTAGGTCCTGAAGAAATGCTTGGGAGAATAAATATATAGAGAGTAACCTATCAAAAATTTAATTATTTTGATGAATAATGGCATCCATGAATGAAGACAGCCTTCTGATAATGCTGTCTGACATGTAATGCCATGTAAAACACAAATCTTTGTTGTGAGCATAAATATAAGAAGCAGTTAAAAACAGTTTTCAGTGATTCATGAAATTGTGTCATCTGACATAAAGAAATGCTTTTTCACTTGCAGTTTGTAGGTCAGCAACAAAATTGCTAAGATCCAAGTGAGTATCTTTCCCCCATTTGCTAAAAGTGAATTAATTCTCTTAAGTTTTCAGCACACTATTTTGGTTCATTTTCCACATTTACACATTTGCAAGCTGTGCTGAACCACTCACTGGCTTCATCCAGAGTCATTCTGTACCTCTGTGTGGCATTTTATGGAATAATGTCATTTGGTAATCATACATGGCACTAAATTAATGGATTTCCTTTGTAAGCATTTTTTGTCCTTAAGAAATTACTTTTAGGAAATTGCTGAAGAAGCAGAAAAAGAGCACTTTCCATACCTTTTATCATTTGTGCACTCTGTCACAGTTTTGGAACTTCTGAAGGACTAAATTTTAGGCAAAGTGAAGCAAATCTGTATGGGCCCCTTCTCAAACTGTAATCATATTACTAAAACCAGTATACAGAAATGTTGAGGAGTTTCAACTGCTTCATCTTCTTCCTTGCTGATACACCAACAGGATACTTTCCATTACAGGTGTCACATCTATTAGTACAGTGAAACTTCAGTGTCTCATTTTTGACTGATGGCACTGTTTGTGAACAAGCTAAGCTTGTCAGCCTAGCTTTTCAACGTTGGAAAAGTGCTCTGACTGCAAAGAGTCTGCCTCCTACTCAGAACTGAACTGGCAGTTTTCTAAATGCACTCTTGGTTTTCCTTTGTTAATTGCCTGTGATTCACACCCACATTTTGCAGAGAGTGATGGCATTTTAATTGCTTGGGGTATTTTAGGATGGAGGAGAGGGGATGGGAATAGGCTTGGGAAAAAAGTGGGTAGGGGTTTGGCATGTTTGGAAGGCTAACTGTTCTGTGATTGCACACAGCTAGGAGACCAGCAGCCAGAGCACCATCTGTGCACACAGCTTATCCATACCTGCCAGCTCGGCACAGAGGAATGTGTCAGCTCCCACTTTTCCAGATCAGCTGAAAGCCTCCTTCGTGCTCCAGTGAAATTTTGAAACCATTCCCTGAAGATCTATTCCCTTCACCCAGCACATTTGACTGCCACAGCCTTCTCTCAGCAAGAAGCTCTTTCTGCAGTGCTGTTTTCACAGGTTGGAGCTGGGAAGATTCATCTGCTCTTCAGTGTCACCTCCCTGCCCTGCAAGCTGCAGAATGATCATTCCAGGGTCCTGGGGAATGGTAAGAGATATATGATCCCCCACAGAAATGTAAAAACATCTCAAGAGGCTTTGTGTGGCTGTCTATGGTGGAGGTGTTTGCACTCGAGCTAGTTATCCTACTAGGAGAGAGCTACTCAGTCTAACCAGTGGGGTTTAAAACTTGCTTCATCCCCTCTTAAAACAAATAGTTATGTTTGGTTGGATGAATTTCATCAACTAAACACCATCAACTGTTTACAAGACCTTCTCGAACAATAGTGGGAACCTCAGCAGCTAATTCTTTGTACACTGTGGGTACCTAAACTTGAGTGAAAGTAATTCCACGTGTCACTAATGGTATCATGAGGATGTGTGAGTAAATTTTCTCACCACCAGCTTCTGGACTGGAATCCAGTATATGAGTAGTTGTTTCCCAGACTCTCAGTGACATTTAAACACCCAGTGTCAACTGATTCCAGGTACACAATTTATACAGGGTTGGGGCCTTAATGCTTTGCAGATTGTATCAAATTTGTCCTTACAGAATGTCTGTGTGATATTCTTCTTGTTGTTCACAAAGACTTGGGGAGCTGATGTGTATGCAGAAACTGGCCAAAGTAGCTCTCCCAGAGAAGTTCCTGGTATAGACCTCCTTTCTCCTGTTTTCTGTATCCCAGGCCAAAATATCAAATGGCAAGACCAAAATTGCCAAAAAGGGGGGTGGAAATGGTGGTTTTCATCTGTAAACACATATTAATATCCATAAAATTTTTTGTTGTATTGTCAATCTTACACATTCACACAGCACCCTAATTCTTACTTAACAGTGTAGATGATGGCAGGTTTGGATGGATCTGCCATTATATGAAATTAATAGCATATCTTCCTATTAATGGGTTCCAGTGAGGAGATTCAGAAAAAGCAGATTCCTCCATAGATTCTGCAACAGAGTTTTGTAGAGTGACTAGAGACCACACTGTTCTGTGTACCTCCATACATACTGTCTTACCTTGGCTTTTCTGTTATGTAGAAAAGATCTAGTTTGTAACTCTCAACCCTTCACCCTCCCTCTTTATTGTGAAGCCTTCCCTGTGATTCTAGCTTTCTTCCAGCATTGATTCCTGCAAGTCAGGACATGGGACACTGCCATCCATTCCTGTCTTCTTTAATCCCTAGCACCTTCCTACCAATATCATCTCACCAACAAGGTTCTGTATGTACCTGTTTCTGCTGTTAACTTCTCCTCCTGGGAATATCAGATGCACTCTTCTCTCTTCTAATAGAAAATTTTATTCACCACCAAAAAAGAGGAAAATGCGGTTAATGTCTGTGTGTGGAAGAACAGAGATCTTTTTTATCTGAGTCTTTACTTTTGCCTCACGTTTGAAAGCAAAATTTAGCACATTGCTTCTTTACCACCCCATTTCCCTCCTCAGCAAAGATTAATTGCCATGTAGTTTTGCATGTTTTTAACATTACAATTCTGTTCTTTATAGTGCAAATATATCTGCCCTACATAGTGGGAAAGTAGTGAATATCATTAAAGGAATTGATAAGTCCTTGTGTAGTTTTTGTTGGATTTTCTACCACATTTTCTACCATACCTAAGAAAGGTCAGTGGTTTAATTGATTTGCCTTGTCAGAGACAAAAGGCAGAAGCATTGAACAAAATAACACAATTTTTTCTCCAAACGGTCCTTAACATTTTATCTTATACTATGCATCTAAGTATTAGCATGAGTGTTACACCTCAGGTTTCTGGAAACCTTTCCCTTAAACCTAAAAGAAATTCTGTATCTGTCTTCTCAGCCACCACCGAAAATCCTAACCTCACAATTTAAAATTATTTGTACTCTGGCAGAGGTTTGCACCTGATAGTTTCTTGGGTAAGTATTATTTCTGACCAGCAGCTGAAGAGAACAGACATCCCTGTGTCAAAAAACCCCAAACAGTAATTTTTGTGTGTTCTGTATGTTTTTCCCCAGAACAGATTTACTTCAATAGCTCATCTCATTCTCTCAGATTTTAAAAATAAAATTCAAACTATGAAGCAGGCAAAACATAGCCCCCTGAAAAGGTATTTCTGGGTTAAAAATAAGCATGAATCTGCCTTAACTCTGCAGAAGTCCAAGAATAAGTAGGAGATGCTGTTGGGAACTTCTGTGCCATATTTTCAGGCCAGCCTGAGGTCGTATACTCTAAAATGATATAAAAATCATCAGTGTAAAACAACTTGAGTCTCCCTTGGAAACCATTTATTTGCTCTTTTGGAGTTGTATGAGTACCTTCTGCCAGGAGGCATAAAGCCTACAGTTCACTCCTTGAAATGCCAAAGGCTGCTAAGCAAACCTCAGCTCCTTAGAAGAACATGTGAGTGAAAGGTTTTACTCTGTTCCCACTGAAATCAGAGGTTTGAACAGAGCAGAACAGGACTTCTAGCTAATGAAGGCAGTTGGTCTAGGCTGCCTTCAGGAGCTACCAACCTGGAATCTGTTGCTTGTGGAAACCTGGAATTTGCCGAGCTTAAACATATCCTTATATATCCCCTCCTTACTTTTATTGCAGTGAAAACATTTTTTTTTTTTTGTAAAGAAACCTGAGTATCAAATACTCTTTTGCAGAGATACTTTGCAGCACAAGGCAGTAAATTCATGAGCTTGAGCACAGAAGAGCTTCACCACACTCAAACTTCTCTTCAGGTAAAGTAAGGTTTTAATCTCTTGCTACAACAGTGGCTCACAGAATCCACAAGCCATCACCTCACACCTTATTACCAAATGCAGCAAATGCATGCATCTCCAGTACCATCTTTATTTGGAGGTGTACAATTTAGTTTGACTCTTAAGGAAATCTACGATAGTTTTACTATTGCAATATTGTAATAAACTACTAATAGCTGCTAGTGAGAAATAGTCCCTTTTTGGTTACGTTTCTGTGTGAACTTTTACGCAGATAATAGAAAAAACATTCCTAATTAAGAAAATTAATATAGATGACAGTTCTCTTTTTTCTGGAAAGCTCAGTAGAACAGGGCACTAATGCTACATCACACATTTATAAGTATGATTCCAGGTATAAGTGAACTAATATGAAACATTATTTTAAAAAAATTCCCATATCAAATTTAATTGTCAGTTTATAAATACAGATAGAACAATAATCTGCCTTTCTGTGGAAGACATCTATATATACTGAATAGGGTTCATGTTAGTAAAACTTTAATGTATCATAAATTAATAAATAATACCAAGCTAAATGAAGGGGAGAAAAAGAATTTCAAACTTTAAAATTAGGCTTTTGTGAATATATAGCAGACTTTACCTTTTTGCTATTTTAATAATCCTAGGGGGGCTTAGCCCAGAAACTTCTGATTTAGTACAAAGGAATCTGCCAGTGCTACACTGGTGAATTATTAATCAATTCCAGATCTAATCCACATTTTTTACCCGAAAGTTTATGCCATATACATGTGTTATAGTTCAAAAGGTATTGGGATGGTGATGTAAGAAAGGCCGATTTAAAATCAGGGCTTGGTTTCTGCTACCCACCTTTGTTTTAAGGAAAGAGGTCTTGACTTTGGTGTTAAGCAGTACTTCACTGCAAGGCCCACAGCTTAAAACAGGTACTCAGTCTGGGGGAAAAGTGTCAAGATCCCAGACTCACCTTTGTGGCTGATGACAACCTGCAGCTGCATTGCTGTCTGCTTTTCAAGAATGGCATCTTCTTCTGTAGAAAACCAGTCAAAAAGAAACCAGTGAAACTAAACATATGAGGATCTGGGATTGCAGAAATAGCTCCAGAGGGGCCAGTCCAGAAGCTCTGCAGGGAAAGCCTTTATGTCTTCTGCTTTTCAGATATTTAGGGTCAGAGGACATCCACCCTATCAGAGTTATCCACTCCAAATTTACCTTCTGTTTTGGAAACTCTGACATTGATCTTGTCACTATTGTTTAAAATTGGAGCTCCTTACTAACTAACTAGCCTGGAGCCTGTAGGGGAGAAAGTGTCCACACTGAGAAGGTTTCTACAGGCACTGGACTTTGTTTTGGTCTATCCAAAGCAGATCTGTTTTGGTTTATTGCAAATTTTGTAGCATCTCTTCCCTCGGGTTGTTTTGGTCTAAGCTTTTCAGCCCTAGGTAGACATTCAAAGGATCAAGTCAATATAGAAAGAAGCCATCCCTCTCATCTTTTCACTGCTCAGAAACAGCTTCTGGCAGCCAACACTTGGATTAGTGCAGGATTTAATACCATTTCTCTATACCAGTGGTGGCCTTCACTGCACTGTATAAATCCTGTAAAGGGAAATCCTGCAAAGGGAAATCCTGCTTCACTAGCTTTCTGAAGTTCTACAAGTTATCTATATGTCAAAGATATATTTTGTTTGGATTTTCAACAAACCCATGATAAGATGCCTAGCAGAACACTACTAAAGAAATGAAGTTGCCATGGGACTGATGCTTATACAATTTGAAAGCTGCTGAGTAGGGAGCAAAGGAATTCTTTGTCACTTTTCAGGATAAAGAAGAGTAAGCGGTAGCAATATTGTAGGGAGTTCGTTTTATTTAAGATCTTCATCAATAACCTGCAGAAGGAAGGGATACAGGTGTACATCTCAGTTCACAGATGATACTGAACTCCTGCAGAGAGTCAAATGACATATACATGGTAATGAGCTCTAGAGAGATGATACACAGCTGAGTGAGTGCAGTAAAAAGTGATGAGTTCTTGTGTAGATGGTGCATCTAGGGAGAATAATCTAAGCCATGTTTACACAGTGTTGAACTGAAAACTGGCAGCTGAAGCTCAGGAGAGACCTGCAGGTCTCCGAACTTAACTGCTTGACATGCAACAGCAGCCAAAAATGCCAAAAAGTTTTTGGATGTTCTCAAAAAGGATAGTAAGAGCAAACCAGGAAATATAAAAACCTTGGTGCATCCACATCTTTAACACTGTGTACAATCCGATTTACATGTTTTAAGAGGGACATAGGGAAATTAGAGATAATGAAGAGAAAAGCAACTAAGATGATTAAAGGATG